CCCCAAAACCCCAAAACCCCAAAACCCCTAGGTGGAAAATCAAGCACAATTCTGTATTATGAATAAGAGTGAATGCGTCACATGCATTAAATAAAAGGCTGATTACGTCTCTAGATTGTATAATTATTTACTTCACAAACACGAATATTCAAGAAATGTCAGCTGAACTTAGATTTGACGGGAAAGTCGCCATTGTTACAGGTGCTGGAGCCGGACTCGGCAGAGCCTATGCTCATCTTTTAGCCAAGAGAGGAGCCAAGGTTGTAGTCAATGACTTAGGTGGATCAGTCTCAGGAGAAGTCAAGGGAACATCTACTGCCAGACCTGCAGATGTGGTAGTCGAAGAGATCAAGAAGCTCGGAGGCACCGCAGTCGCCAACTACGACTCAGTAGAGAACGGAGACAAGATCGTCAAGACTGCTGTTGATGCTTTTGGCACAGTTGATATCGTGATTAACAATGCAGGTATCTTAAGAGACATCTCTATGCAGAAGATGACTGATAATGATTGGGACCTCATCATGAAGGTTCATCTCAAGGGTTCCTACGCCGTCGCCAGAGCTGCCTGGAACATTATGAGAGAGAAGGGATACGGTAGAATCATTAACACTTCAAGTTCTGCTGGTATCTTCGGGTCCTTCGGTCAAGCTAACTACGCCGCTGCCAAGCTTGGTCTTCATGGATTTACCCAATCACTTGCCAAAGAAGGTGAAAAGAGAAATATCAAGTGCAACACTATCGCTCCACTTGCTGGAACCAGAATGACTGAGACTGTCATGCCAAAGGAACTTGTTGAGGCTCTTAGACCAGAATACGTTGCTCCACTCGTTGCCTTCTTGGTTCATGACACTTGCCCTGAGAATGGATCTCTATTCGAAGTAGGTGCAGGCTATATCTGTAAAGATAGATTCCAAAGATCTGAAGGTGTTCTCTTTACCCCTCAAGATTTGACTGTTGAGAATGTCTCCAAGAACTGGTCCAAGATTGTAGACTTCACCAATGGAACCATCCCAACCAGCAACTAAGACATGATGGAGAAAGTCATGAAGAATATTGAGGCTGCTGCTTCCCAAAAAGGCAAAGAAGCCCCCAAGCAAGAGGCCCCAAATCCTGCCCCAGTTCAACAAGCTCCAGCAACTACAGCTCCAGCTGCCTCAACTGGAGGACTTAAACCAGATGAAATCTTCGGCATGATGAAGACCTTCCTAGACTAAGGTCTCGGAAAGCCACTCATTCCCAAGGTTGCTGCCGTCTTTGCCTTTGAAATTACCAAGACAAAGGGAGGCAAGGTTGAAGCAATTTATGAGATCGACCTCAAAAACGGACAAGGAGACGTTAAAAAGGGTAAACCAGCATCAGCTGATGCTACCTTCACCATGACTGAAGAAGACTTCGAAGGTGTCTGCCTTGGAAAGCTCAACCCACAAATGGCATTCATGCAAGGAAAGATGAAGATCAAGGGCAACATGGCTAAGGCCACCAAATTTACCCCAGAGCTCTTCCCACCTCCAACTGCTGAGAATCTATCAAAATTCAAGAGTGCCAAGCTTTGAGTGAGCTATTTGAATCTATATCTTTTGCTCTAGTATTTTATTTTTAATATCAAATTTTCTTAAAGAATATCTTTCTTGTGGGGTTTTGGGGTTTTGGGG